ATTTTATATAGAGATGCGCCTATATAAGAGAGTTTGAACCTATAATAGTATAAAGCAAAAGTATTAAGAAACTCTAAAAGCTCAAATTAGGTCATAGTATTATATAACAAATATACAATTTGAGAAAAAGTATATACTTCGAAAAAAAAAGTACAAAATGAAAATTAATTCTGAAATATATAAATCGATACATAATCAAATTATTCATAGTTATCAAAAATAGCATTTTATCAATGTCCATATATTCTCAGGACTGAAAAAGTTTGTAATTGAAGGTGTTTTTACCTAAAAGGGTGTCAAATATATCAGAATTCTCCCTCATATATACCTTGCATTGAATGTGATAAATAAACTTATTCTGAATATAGATTTTGTGATCTATATGCTATAAAGTACTATAAAAAAATAGTACCATCAGAAAAAGTAAGCTAAGTTAGCTTCAACGCAGATACTGATAGATAATTTAGAGGTAAATAAAAAATAATACAACTTATTACTAGTGTTACAGGAAAAAAAAAGCTTATGATAAAGCTAGTGATGCAAATAATAGGCTCTTTAGGAATTTTAAGCTAAAAGAAAGTTTTCTTAATAAATGTTATTGGTATCACTACTGTCACTAGAAAAAATCTGAGTATCTTAACTTTTTTTTATTTTTTAGCATACATACATGTATCACACATATACCATAGATTTATCATATTATATTTCATATAGACTAAGCATAAAAAAATTTTGATTTTTTTCCTAGAAATTACTATTTTTTACTAATGATACTAGTAACACTAATCAAAAAAGAAATAAAATAGCCTAATAATCTCAAGAAAGATAGCAAATCTGTTACTAGTTTTATCACTAGTTCTAAATATTAACTGGTAATACTAGTGATAGCTAGAAATAACAAAAATCCATCCTATTTTATATTCTAATGCATCTAATAAGGTTTTAAAAATACATTATAAATGCATTCTAATGATTCAAATCTCAGGACATGAAATTGTATAATTACACCAGCAATAAATAAGCAATATTAAGGTTATAAGATGACGCACTTTTTTTGGGCTGACCATAATAATACATAATGCACATCTAACTATAACCAGGCAAATACTTTAGTTCAATATTTCTTTTTAAGATACGAAATCAGTATATATATACTGGCAATTAATAAGTAATAGTTGGATTGTGAAATAGTGCACTTCTGGGCAATCAAATAGGTCAACTATAATACCTTGAACTCTGCTTCTGATGGTAAATAGGTAGTCAAAAAGTAGAATTAAACTTAACCAATAATATTGTATAAGCCATCTAATGTGATTTGTTATCCTATTATAGTAGAACCAGCTTCTAGACCATATTGTTTAAAATCTTCTTTATTAGTTTTGAGAAAAGCACAATCATTAATTTTTTTGTGGGTTTTAGAAATATTCTGGAAATATTTCTATTATTAGCTTATAACTATGAAAGAGTGTTCAATATCATAATAGGATTATATGACTGGTGCAGTAAGGCATAGTATAAAATTGACTAGTATATAAATTCAGTTAGATCTTTGAACATAATAATTCAGCATCTAAATTGATCTGAAACTGGCAAACTAATAGAAACACTCAGATTCTTTGCCAGTTTTATGACAGCTCCAGAATACTATCAAATCGTTATTATAGTGTTAGATTGGATTTTTCAAATCACATGCCCTAAAGATCAGCCGAAAATTATGCTATAGTACTGACCAAATTTAGATGCAGATTTACATCGAATTTACTGTGTAATATGTCATCTTTTTTTACACTATTTTAGTATCTAGAAAGGTAACCAAATAGATGCAAAGGGTAAGTACTCTAATATAGAATCTAGCACTCAATCAGGTGTAGAAAATTAGCTTCCTTAACATAAAACCAGATATCCAAATAACTACAAAGGATCAACAATCTCATTATAGAATTTAATATGTAAATAACTCAGAAATAAGAAGAAAAACGTGGTATTTAGATTATATAGTGGTAGTTAAGTTAAATAGTGGGTGGTAGTTAGATTATATGGTGTTAAAAAAATATAGATAGCAAGAAAGATTTAAAAGGATAGCTAGAGTATAAAAAAGATACCTAATACACAAAAATAAATAGATTATATGGTGATAATTAGATTATATTATTTAGATCATATAGTGGTACTCAGATTATATAATAGTATTTAGATCATATAGTGATACTCAGAATATATAATGGTAATAAAATCTAAGACAAGTGGAATACCATTACGTAATATAATTATATTACATAGTGGTATTTTACTAAATAAATAAAATATTATTATATTTAAAATTTTATTATGAAAATAATATTTGAAATAAAAATTAAATTTTTAATTATCAAAATGCAATAATAATTTACTTTCTGAAAATAAATTATCATGAAAAATTTTTATTGATTTATTTTTTTTAATTTTTATTATAAATTATTATTTATTATTATATTTTTTATAAATCTATAAATTGATTCTTTTTATGATACTTTATCTATATCTTCAAAATTATTATTTTCTAATTTATCATAAAAAATTATTATATGATCATTATTATATGGTCTACTTAATAATTACATTATTAGATTATTATTAAAATAAGATATACAAAAATTTAATATTATTAATTTGATTACCAGTTTTTTGTAGATGGTCCTTAAATTAGGTTAACAAATTTAAAGTAAAAGAATTATTTAAAATTTTTAATTCTTTATTTATTCTTTGATAGTCAGGTTTTTAATATACAAATTTTAAAAAATGTTATTTTTAAAAGTGATTAAATAATAAAAAAAGTACTTTTTGAAGATCTAGTAAGAGTAACTTTTACATTTAGACTAATATAAAAATAAATAGTTATTTGGTATTATTAATATCTTTATATTTTTATTGATAGATTTATTTTTAATTAATTTTTCATTATATTATTATTAATGCATTTATATTATTTAATTTTATTTTAAAAATAATTTAAATATATTAAATACTTAAATTGATTCTTTAAAGTAATTAATTACTAAAATAACTATATTTAATTAAAATTTACTATTAAATGATCATTTATTTAATTATAATTTAATTATAATTTATAAATTTTATAAAATATTTATAAAATAATAAAGTTTTTAGAAATATTAATCTGTAATTTTATAAATTAATTAAAGATAATAATATTATGAAATAAGAATTTATTTGTAATAAATTATAATTTGACATCTGATATATTTTTAAAATACATTTAAACTATATAATATACTTTTAAGAAAGTATGTATAATTGCTTTTATATATAAATATACTTTATAAAATTTATAAATTATTATTGAAATAAATTGTTATATTATTATTAAAAATAAAGTATACTTTTTTTCATAGCTATTAAGTTGTAAAAAATTTTTATTATATGTTTTTAAATAATATTATAAGCAGATTTTATTGGATTATTATTCAAAAATAAAATAATTAATAATAATATTAATTAATATTAAAAAAAATATTAAAAACAATTTATAATTTTTTAAGTAACTTAAAAAAATTATTACTTTATATAAATTTATTAAAAATTTTTAGTTACATATTATGTATAAATATGAATCATTTAATATACAGACCCCTGCCAAAAAGTCTCTGAATACTATCTTTTGAGTTTTTTCGTATTAATTACATTATGTGACTGTAGAAAATTATGGCTATATAATGTTTCAGCGATTGTTTACTTAAATCAAACCAAATAAATACGTGTTTGGTTTGTTTATTTTAATTTTAGATCAAAATAAAATTTTATTTTTTAAAACAACAAAAATGTCCAAAAAATTAATAATATAATAATACAATGGCATAATGTTTTGCTATCAACACAGCAATTGTTATTGAACTATTTCTATGACTATTTATTGAGAATCTATGGCCAAAGTCAAGAAGAGCATCTGTGAAAGAAAAAAATTGCCTTCCAACCTTGCTTAACTCAATCAATATATTATAAGAGCATAGAAACAAATTCTGATACAAATATTGAAATTTGGTTGATAGTATACCGCAGTGAATTTGGACTGTAATTGAAGCAAATTGAGGTCTGACCAAATACTAATTATTTATTACTAAATGTGTAGCATATTGTACTTTAATAAATATATTAATAATAAAATTTAAAAATTCCAAGCTTTATATTGAGCTAAAAATGTCTGGAGATTTTTGGCAGGAATCTGTACATAGAAACTTATTATAAGAATTAATATAAAGATTAAGATTAATTTAAGATTAGTTATAAAATTAGGTTACTATTTATTATATCACGTTACGCATTATTTATTAATATACGAGAATTTAAGAAATTTTTTATATTAAAAATGTTATTTATTATTCTCTTATGTGTTTAAACATTCTGTATATAAATAGAAATTGCTATTTTTCTTTTAAATTTTAATAATAGTTTATTATAAATTTTTATAATTAAGTAATATTAATTAATTAAATAAATTACTATTATTTATTAACTATTAAATATAATATATTTATTTTAGTAAATTTATTATTATAATTAAATAATTTTGATAGTTTTATGCTTATTTATATTTATTTATATTAAAATATTGTATAACGAATATATATAATATACATTCAAGTTTAAAACAGTTAATTAAAAAAGTATTATAGTTGACAAAAAAAAAAATTTCTGATCAAAGTATGCAAGTGATACGAACACGATATAATCGTCTATAATTGTTTAGATTACATTGAGATCATCACAACTCAATACAAAAGGAAAAAACGACCTCATACCACATGTTGAGGAAATGCTAAACGCATAAAAGTTTCGGAAAAATTATGACGATCTGCCAAAACCCAATTCCGACCGACCAAAAGTCGATCATATAATCTTAATTTAGAAAAAATTCATTTGCATATCATGACGACAAACCGACTTTTGTTTTCTATTCACTGGTTCTTACCTGAATACCTTCCTCCTTATTTCAAATAGCAATAATGAGTATTGTTAAATCACGTACTAAAAATCGTTCGAGAACAAAAGAATTTATTTCTTTACTCGAGAAAAGTACTTTAGGTGTAATACAACCTAAAACAAAAAGGGATTTGTATCATGCTGCAATTAATAATATTGGAGGAGCTTTCGTTTATTCACGGTAAGAATATCAGTATTTTGTTGTAGTTTCGTGACATTTTTATTTTATTTTTTTGTATTAAGCGTTTCTTATCCTTTCAATATGTAGAGATTTGAAAGGTCATTTCTCGTGCGTTAATGCAATAAAGTAAGGACTGAAATTATTAATGCCCAATTTTTTTTCTTACATGAATTCTTTCCTTATTTTAAATTTAATTAATAGTTTTAGTAATGGCGAGGCACATATGTTAGCGTCTGGTGGTGACGGTAAGTATTTTCTTATTAAATTATTCAAAGAAAATTATTCAACTTTAATATCAATCTTACAGATAAACGTGTGCTGATTTGGAATGTATGTGGTGACATTGAGAAAACTAAACCAAAGAAATGTTTCAAGGGTCATACGGTACGTAATTAATTAAAGATCAAATTCTTAACATTTATTTCATTAATAATATATATATATTTTTTAAAATAAATTCTTTTAGAGTAATATATTTTGTACAATTTTTGATTCAACAAATCGCCATGTTTTATCGTAAGTCGTGTTTTTTTTGTTTAGTAATTAATTTTTAATTACTTTGCTCATTGATTTGATTTTATTTTATAAGTTGTGGAAATGATAAATTAATCATTTATCATGATTTGGAACATGGTATTGAAAATGTTTATATTAATTATTTTCATTTTTATTTAAAGTATTATTTTAATAAAAAAGTCTTTTCAACATTAAAGAAAGCGAGTTTCACGTGCCAGATACATTTACTGGACATAAAGATGCCGTACAATCAGTTGCATTTGATCCATTTAATGATCATTTATTCTTGTCGGCAAGGTATATTAATTAACTATTTCAATTAAGTTTCTTGGTTCCGTTTACTAATTTAATTTTTAATTTATTTTATAGTCAAGATGGTATGTTAACTTTACTATGTTAAATAGAGTTTTTAATTAAATTTACTAAATTTTTTTTACGTTAAATAGGTACGGTAAAACTATGGGATATACGTTGTAGAGTTGACCAATGTCAAGGAGAGATCCGAAGTTTAGCGAACATGACACACGCTCAATACAATCCTACAGTTGAAAATCAATTCATTACTAGCGATGGCATTGGCGATGTAGTGTAAGTTAAGTTATAAAAAAAAACTTTATTTTTATTTAACTTAAATTAATAATATTTTATTGTTTTAGATTGAGAGATACTAGAATGGCTTTTAATTCCAGAGATTCTCTTTTAACAACATATTCAGAAGATTATTTAATGAAGGTAAAAAAAGGTTTTTAAAAACCATTTTATCATTCATTAAATATTTACTTTAAAATCGTTTACTTTAAATAGTATTATACGACATTATCGCGTAGTTCTAAAAACGCTAAACCTGATATATCTTCAGTGACATTTAATCCTTCTGGAAATATGTTGTGTGCCACTATAAACCGTTATTATCCAACACTATATAATGTTTGTGATGAAAAACCTTTATGTATTTTTTCATCATATTACGATTCAGATACACAAACTGGATACAAAAATTGTTGCACTTATAAAGTAAGACTTATCCATAATATCTTAATATTTTCAAATTAAAATTAAAATTTCAACTTATAATTTTATAGCAAGGACATTTTGGTGGTCCAAATGGAGAATATTTCCTTTGTGGAAGGTATAGTCTATTAATTGAGATATATATATATAGATTATTTCGATCTTATTAAAATTATTCTTTTATTTAGTGATGATTTCAGAGTTTATATTTGGAAAGTCCCAGAAGTAGAAACCATGCTGAAGAATCCATCAATAAAAAATATAGATGAAATAAGTAAGCTTTGGGATATTTTACCCGTGAAAACATGTAAAACTTTAAATTATAACGAATGGGTTTTTTCTTTAGATTTTATTAATGATGATGTAATAATGAGTCCATTTAATAATTCGACCCCACAATATGTGCTCGAAGGTTTGTAATCTGTGTAATTTATTTCGGTTTTTTTTTTACGTTTGAATTCTATTTATAATGATTTTATAATTAAACAGGCCATCGTTCAATTGTCAACTCTGTAATTTGGCATCCCCATTTTCCTTTGATATTTTCATCAGGTAAGTCTAGATTTACGAAAAAATAACTTATAATCAGATTTTAACGTATCATCATTCTCAAGGTGTTGAAAAAATAATCAAGGTTCATTCGGCTTTTCCGTTTTCAAATAAGGGTATGGAATATTTTTTTCAAAAAAATTTGTTAAATAGAGTCTTTATATGATTTAGAGTTGGTTTAAATATTCTATTTTATAGATTATGAACCTAAAGTTCCACAACCACCTAGACCAAAGTTAAGGCGTGCAGCAAATCATCGTTCAGCATATTCTTCATCATCTTATGTTGAACCTGAAGAAAATATGGAAGAAGATCCGTTAACTTTGAGATTCTTTGATTTAATGGTTGGTGGTCCATTAGTTTCAATTAATTAATTCAACAAATATTAATCCTTAAAAAATTTATCTACGCAGCTTGTTACTGAAGAACATTACGATCCTTATTGGGGAAACGATTCTTCTGATTCTGATGATCTTTCATTGTTTACTACGCAATTTTTTAGGCGAAATGCTGATGAGGATAGGAGTGAAAATGGGGTTAATGGAAGAGAAAATAGTGAAAACGATGTTAGCAGCGATGATTCGTCTACGTGTTATGATTCGAGGTAAAAGTAATTGAATCAGAGAATTATTTGTTAATTAATTATTTATTAACAGAGATTTGTATGTTATATCTAGTTCAGACAGTGAGGAAACATCTAGCAGAGATACATCAGGAAGTGATAACGAGCTTATGTCATTAGAAAGTGATACAGATTTTGAGGATCATGAAAATCAGTTATCAATTTTAGATCATCATGAGTCTGATGATGAAAATGATGATGATTATGAAGAAGAAGTACATGTAATAGATAAAGATGATGATGAACACGAAGAAGACGATGATGATGATGAATTATATTAATATGTAAATGAAGGTTAAGGAATATTAAGATGTAGATAATGGGTTAATTTAATTTATACGGCTCATTATAAATCAATATCAGTATTTTTGAATGTATAAGTTGCTTCAGTTCATTTCGTAATAACTAAATATAAATAATATAGATAGCGTATTCACCAATTAAAAATTTCTGTAAAAAAAAAGTTTTTAAAAAATAAAATTTTACGGTTTTATTTGTCACAGTATAAAGGAGAAACACGTGGAGGGACGAAAATTATCTTTCTTAAATCCAATCATATAAGATCATGTTTACCCTTTTTAAAACCGCTATTTTATTAAATTGATTACCAATTCTTGTTAAGTATATACAAATATTATAATATTATTATTTCAAATAAAATTTATACAAACATTCAAATAAATTACAAAAATAAAGATTCAAACTGATTATATAATAAAAGGTTTTTCTTTCTCCAGCATTTTTTTTTTTTTACAAGTTTTTTCTTAAAGATGTAAATGCAATTAAACAATTTGGTTGTTTTTAGAATAAGAAAAATAAAAAAATGTGATTTGAATAATATATATTCTTGCTAAAGTAAATTCATAAGTCTATAGGTAACCATATTGAGTATTTGTTGTATAATCATCATCATTATAACCTTCTTCAGTATGTTCATTTCTTGTATCATCATCCTGTTCAAGATGTTCAATATAATCCGTATTCTCATCATAATAAAATTCCCCCATCGAATTTCTATCAGCGGTCTGATCATTTTCATCATAATCACTTTCTTCCGCATATTCATCACTATATCTCTCACCCCCATAACCCTCAGCATAATTTTCATGATCTTCATCATATTCAGCAACAGTTTCATACTGTGTAGGCATTATATGAGATGTTTGAGTGAGTCTATTGTTATTATTGTTCTCATTTGTATAACCCATTTCCATCATTCCTGTCTCCGAATCATACCCCTGACTTGTTAATCTTCTTGATATTTCTTCGGTGTAATCTATGGGTATAGGAGCACTAATGTCTTTTGTAGAAATACGTTTACGTCTTGTATTATGACCTTCTACATCACTATTATCAAAAGAACCAGAAAGACGAGGCAAACTAGAAGATCTAGTAAGTTTACTATCTATTTTATCATCTCTTTTATTATTAAGATTATTCGATTTTGTTCTTACCCAAGGTAAACTAAAAGTACTAAAAGCATTAGACTTTCTTCTTAATTTACCACGTCCACCGCGAACTTTTGAATCATCCCAAATATTTAAAATTTGCTCTTTTTCTTCAATCATTATCCATTCACATTCACGATTTATTAAATCTTGTCTTGGTTCAACGAAAACCCATTCACCCCAACGATTGGTTACTTCATCAGCAGTTGTTTCAATCCAAATATAAGGAAATAATTCATCGATTGTTTCAATCGCTAAATGCGTTGTGACTTGAAAATCTTGTGCGGCATCTATCACATACCAATCTTCCCAGTCTTCTTCATGTTCATTGTAATCAAAATCATTATTTGAATCAAAAGATTTTTTCTTTAATGCACGTAAATTTATTCCTCTTTTTAATTTATGTTTCTTTCCATCATTACGTGTCGTTGTTGTCGTGGGCGTCATGGTAGATCCATTTTGTACAGAGTTAGGATCATTATCTCTTAATAAAGGTGATTTAACTGATGAAGCTAAGGTAAGTACATCCGATAAATTATCTAATGAATCTCTAAACCCTTTTGTGGTAAAATCATCCCAAGCAATAGTTTTAGGTCTCATAGCATTATTGGGATCATTTCCACCCGCTTTTTCATTATCATTAACATTTTTATTTGATAGGTTTAAATTATTTTTATCATTATTCTTTTTAGGCGGTAAAGGGGGTTCTAAATAAAAACTTTTAAAACCTTTTTTAGAGAAATCTTTCCAATTTTTTTCTATGGGAGTAATAGCCAAATCGTTATGTAAATTTTCCTTAATCATCCTTTCATCAAGCGAAAAGAATAATTTAATATAATCATCGGATAATGAAGCTATACCGTTCCTTTGAAATTCTATCCAGATTTTTTCCGCTATATTTTGTTCTTCTAATGACATCATTGCACTTGTGCGTACTATAGTACGTCTATTTAAATTATCCAACATTTCAGGTAACAATATACTTGGACATCTCGATTTACGTCCATTATTGGTAATACTTGGTGGTACTGTTCTCGTTACTCTTAATATACTTATTGGTCTTTCTGATGGCGCGGAAAAATGTACCAACGATTTTTTTAAAAAACATTTTCTACTTTTATTTGATTTTGTAGGGGATTCAGGAAATTCCGTTGTTTGGATAACTTCTTTTTGATGTTCATGACCTGCTTCCGAATCTTCATTATCTTCTTCTTCTTCTTCAACATTCTCATCATCATCATCATCATCATCATCACCATCATCATCTTTTTCTTCATCATTTTGTTGATTTAACTGAAAGTGATCGATATATTCTTTTCGTAATTCGACATAATTGTCCAACAATAGAGTCAAATAAGGAGGTAACTCAAATTCAATGACCAATTCTCTCACATAAGCCAAAAATAAATGCAAACAAGCATTCGAAGATTTAATCCATTCTCTATAAGCATCATCAAAGCTATTAAAATTCTTTTCCTTTTCGTCATCATTATAACCAATTAAACATAACGCTAAAGATTTTATAATTTTAAGAGGATTATTATCAATATCCGAATTGGAAGGAGGAAGAACACTACTAGTTAATTGTATACAAATATCAAATAATTCTAAAACAATCTCCCTATTTAATATTGGTATAGAATTTAAAAAGTAATTAGTGAATAATCGCTTACGAACATCATAATTCATTTCTTGTTCGTATAAGTTAAAGTGTTCGTAATCATTAAATGGAATAATTATACATTTACAATGACGTAAAGCCCATTTCATTGCTGATACTATATTATTTATATCTTGACTTTGAATTTCATCTTCAAATTCTGGTAAATTATCATTCAATAAACAATTCAATAAATATTTTACTTCATCTCCTCCATCTCCAATACGCATTGGTTTAAATATATTAACGGTATTTAACCCTAATTAATAATAAAAAAAAAAAAAAAAAAAAAAAATATATATATATAAAATTGTTAACTAAAAATGTATTAAACTTTAACCGTATATATATTACGGTGAACTTACCCCTCAATCGGATCTGTTCAACACATCTTTTAACAATCAAACTAGTCTCTTCTATAGTGACATTATTACCAAATCCTTTTAAATTTGTAGTTTTCTTTTGAGAAAGTTTACGAAAAGCATTGCCATTGTTATTTACAGATCTTTGTACATTTTTCTTTTTTAAAATATGTTTCGCTCCACGTAACATTGTTTCTGATCTTTTTTTTTTTTTTTGGTTTTGGTTTCGGTTTTCGGGTTTTTAATTTTTTTTTTTTTAAAAAAAAAAAATAAATGCCCAGACGAGCTTTTTATTTATGTTTCAATGGGAAGAAGGAGAGATTATGATATGCATTGAAAAATAACAATATTATGGAAATTTTGTTTAAAACAGGTTTTTATTTCTCTATCGTCTTTTTTACTCTCTTTTTTGTTTTTGTTTGTTTACTTATACAATTAACCTTATAGCTCAATGCGCATTTTGGATAACGTTTCGTATATTTAAGTGTGTTTTTTTTTTTTTGTACCACATTCTCGATGAAAGTCAATGAATTGTTACAGTACTTTTTGTGTCAAAAGATCCTATAGTGTATGTACATAAGAAATTATCTTCATTGTCAAAATGCCAAGCTAAAAGGAAATCTTTTTTTATTAAGTGCAGAACGTATTTTTCACTTTTTTTTTTAATTTTAAATCCGATTTTGGAATGATTTTTGAAAGATACTTCCTAAACTGCAAAGTGACATTAAACGCAAGGATGCAACATGACATAAATAAAAAATTTTATTTCCCAGGTTTATTAGATAAGCATACATTTCTTTCATGTAGTGATTGACAAGAATGTAGGTTTATTACGTCAGATTTATCGAAAATTTATAAAGCATATATACTGTATACATATTCTTAATCGGCGATGAAGACCTTTTTGCGAGAGGGTTCTTTTTTTTTTTTCAAAATCAATCAAATTAAAATATTCAGATATTCCGAAATACATTTATTTCAACGCGTTCGCGTTTTTCCTTTTAAGTACTAATTCTCACGGATATATATAGATTTTCTCTCCTTTCATACTTGATACTAATAAATATTCATTAATATTAGAGGCTCGGCAACCTTTACCTTTATTATCACTTTATTACATTTAATTTATATTTTATTGAACATTATTTACGTTACTTTATCCTTTACATAAGTAAAATTAGCTAATCATGAACTAGTTTTAAAACCTTTTTGAATACTTTTTAATGATGATAATGAAAAGATGAAATGGTCTATGGATCATTTTAGGTAATATTACATTGCTATAATTTTTCTCGATATTCTAATTCATAGAGTGTATGCATACATATTGTAATCTTTGTAAAGTTATTATAATAAGGTTATATATATATAGTAAGATGATTGATAAAACTATTCAGCAGATAATAAAAGAAACATGAATTAAATAACTTTTTTAAATAAGTTGGTCTGTTCATAAACCTTTGAATTCTTTATAATTATAATTGTTGTTTTGTTGTTGTTACCATAAATTATTATTATTATCATTATTATTATTATTATTATTATTATTATTATTATTTTTAGAAAAATTATATTAGGTTTAATCATTATAAACATAATGATGTTAAAAAAAATCAATTATTAAGTAGGAAAAAAAAAAAAAAATACTTCCAACGTTAACACCAACCGATATCTGTCAGTAAACATCTTCATTAAACTCATCATAAGGATCCCCTCCGTATTCGTATTCATTATTATCGTTTTCAACATAATCTTCACCATCTTCAGTTAACCCAGGAGTTGTTGCGGCACTATTTCCATATTGTAAATCTCTATTGTCCCTATTGTTGCTAAGCTTTAAAGTTCGACGATTCCATCCATAGTCCTCCTCTTCAGGTGATCTATTTCTTTCTGAAGTCATGCCGCGTGCAATCCCTGAACCACTTATGCTCGTAGGATCATAATCCCGCCATGATGTTGGAGAAGTAGGAATACTTTCTGTTAAATTCTCCAAAAGATTATCCAATACCTTAAAGTTAATTTTCTTTGAGAGATTTCTCTCTTCAAAGAGTCTCCTTGCTGCTTCTGCTGGCGTGCTAGACACAGTAAGGTCGTTATTTCTGCTTTTTCTTGGTCGCTTATGCTATTTGGGGGAAAACTTATTGATTAAAAAATTATTACAAGTTCCGAATATTAAGTTGTTACTTACCCTGCGAACCCCAATCCCGTTTTGCCTGTCGATCTCTTGCTGCTTCCTTTTCTCTATTTGATACAGAATAAATTGTTATTAAACGAATAAAAAAAAAAAAAAAAGAAAGGAAGAATTTATTATATATTCACCCTCCATCTCCATCAAAAACTCCCCATTTAGCTCCATCCAGACCCGTGTTTTAAGTATGACTTCGTCCTCGGTTAAGATTGCGTTTCTTACTTCTTCGTCTTCATCAAGATCAGATCCTAACTCTTCAGTCAGTTGAGAACTATCGCCATTAGATTCATCATCTTCATCATCTGAAGTAAAGCTTTGGCGAGATCTTTCTAATCAACCCAAAAAAAAATGGATCGTTCAAAATAGTAACATTATGGTTATTTAATTAGACATAAATTTAATTCTAACCTTCCAAGTCGGTACTAACTTTCTGCAAGTACTTATCACCTAGGAAGGAGTTCACTTCATCCTCCAACGCGCGATCTGTTTCTTCCTCCAAGTCATGCATCGGCCTTTTGCCTTTATCTATACGCGCTGGAGGACCTTCTTCTTCAACGTTGGTATCTCTCTTTCTTCTTTTACCTACCGTCTCATCATTTTGTGACGTCGGAATATTTTGAGAGCTGTTCCCGTCAAGGTCGAAAATTTCCTGTAAAAATTCGGTTTGTAACTGAATTTCATCTCCATCAAAATCGGTGAGACCCCTCTTTCTTTTTGAACCGGCATCACCGCTTGATGAGCCAGCTGTCACTTCGTCATTCTCGTCCACTTCTCTTAATGTCGAATCAGCTACTTGCCGATTGTCTTTGGGTAATTTTGCCGACTTTAATGCCCGCGTAAATGAGGGAGGATCGCATTGTGGTTCGAGCCATATATTCCTGAAGTCTTGGACAGAAAGCTTACCCGTGGGGGTAACTTTGAATTCTTCTAGCCTAATAAGGATATGGAATAGCATTATGTGAATATAGATTGAATATGATGGTTAAAATTCGATACGTAAGCAACTTCTAGTATTTACCTTCTTTTAATGGTCACATCTGCTGTCTTCACGACGGCAATGACTTCCTTGATACTTCTCTGAAAGTTATTCATCCGAGCGGAAATCAACAAACCTATATAATATCATCAATTCACAAATGAGAAAAAAACGAACATAATGCATACATACGGGATTCACCAATAGAAACGCACCATCTCACTTTTGTCATCTGGTGAGTTTCAATTGACGAAGCCTCAATATACTGAATTCGTGCTCACATGCTCCACATATACCAGCAGGCCTTCTTCCTGTCTGCATCCAATCACGGTCCATTCGCTGCACAAGGCGCATTGCATCTGAAGCTACTTTTGGAGTTTCTTCCCCAAATTCCAGCAAGGATGCGAATCTCGAGATGTATAATGATGGATCAACCAATGGAAGAACAAGGTGAAGCGTCCTTACCAATTTCAAAAATGTAGATCCCAACGTGAAAACATTCACCTGCAAAAAAAAAAAAATTAATTCTAGTTGAAAATGTACCACTATCAACTTTCCGGGAAGTAAATCGATTTACTTGTAAAATATCCGAGAAGTCGATCAACATATGGCTGGTCTTCTCTGTACGACATACAATGTAGAGACAAGCAGCGACGACAAGTTGGGTCTTCCGACCCTGGATGAAATTGTTGGTAATCGCAAGGTTAAAATATCTTTGCGCAGCTTCCATCAGGTGATCCGAAAGTCTCAGCGCAGTAGCCAAAGCTTGGATTTGTCGTCGTCCTTTTTTTTTTTTTTTTGAAATGAAAAATTTATTTTAGCGGACTTTGGTTAACTGGTTGTTCGTTCATATCAAATCCTGATAATCATGATATAAACGAAATTACCATTCGCAATGGTTTGTTCTCTTGAGTCCAAGCTTGAATGTCGACGATAAGGACCAGCGGATCTAGCCCTTCCTGATATTTCAATATCAGCAAAAAATTTTACATATCTTTAGTATACAAAATCAGAAATTTTCCAAGGGAAATGGAGAGAATTTACTTTGGTCAGCTCCAACGTATGATCCTTGTAAAATTGCGGCGCCTGACGCGCTCTCTCCAAAAGTAACTTCAGATACAATCTTACTCTCCTCGACAACCTTGAAAAATTCATATGTTTTATCAATTAAACTAATCGTTGGGACGAAAAATAATAAAAGAATTTTTCTTCAATTCTACATACAAAACCACATTTTGGACAAAATGCATGCCCAGCAGCGGTATCATATTCGATTCTGTTCTCTCCACAGTGTGAGCAAGTCATTTTGTTACCATATACGTTGTAAGACGGTATAAATTAAAAAAAAAATTCGTTATCTTGATTGATCGATCGCCTTGGTGTAAAGGAAAAAAATTCTGACGAAAAAAAAAATTAGAAAGCAAAGTAATCGGGTTCAAATCCTATAAGTTACAATTCATATTCGAAGATTTTGATTGAGGTATTACAAAGTTGTTTTCTCGCGGAGTGATTCATAGTGATTTCCATCTTGGGTGATGTGTAAGATCGATAATCAACTTAATTGGTTTTTATTTTTACCCTATTTTTTTTTTTTTTTTTTTGTTTTTGTCGTCAATCGACGTGATAATCGTACGATGGAAAAAGAAACTGAATTAGTAACTTCGGTAAGAGAGTTTTCTTAGCACAAATTAAAAATATCTTTTTTTTTTGCTGAAATGGTATTGATTAATTTGATCATAAGCTATTGGACTTTTTACATGAAGATCATCCAAATGTAAGTGAGAGAATTATTAGAAATCATGCAAAAACACAATTCCAAATCATTTAATCAATCAACGTTGTAATTAGGTACGTCAAGTTGCGCTTGAAAATTTATTGAGGTATACAGATAGTACCTCCAAGCTTCAACACTTATTCAAACGTGAAAATATGAAACCAATAAGAGATTTAATAACTCTTTGTAATGATGAAACAGTAAGAAACTATTTTCGATTGAAAAATCAAATCAATAATTAATTGATCTTGAAATTAGATCATTTCAATATTTAAAATTTTAGGTCACCGCTCATAATGCTTATAAAGCTCTCGTTAACCTTACCGCCGACGAAGAGATTCGTAGGATTTTCAATAATGAGAACTTTTTAAAATATTTAACAAGGACGATAACGGTATTGATAAAAAAAAGTTTTTTTTTTTTTTGTTTGCGCCCGTCAAATTTTGATAATTTTCGGTGACAAGTAAGAAAAATCTACGAAAATTATAGAATCGAGATTCAGTCCTCGCCGACATGGCATGTATGCTTCTATCAAATATTACAAAGGATGAAACCGTTGCTGCAAAACTTTTGTCTTTAAAGGTTCGACCGATAAAAGATTTGTCCAACTCATCACAAACGATTGGCCAATTGACTGATGTTTTTGTCCGAGGTTTCGAAAAGAAATATAACAAGGAAGCAGAATTTCATTTTTTGGCTAGCGTATTCGCGAATGTGACGATGGTATGACAAATTTGTTTGACTTTTTTCTTTTTTTGTATTTCATTTCATCTCATCATTTTTCTATGATAAATAGTTACCTCAAGGTCGGGACTTTTTTTTGAGCAATGCATCATCATCCGAAAATGTAACGCCATTATCAAAGCTGATAGTTTTCACTGAACATCCAAACATAATTCGAAGAGGTGGCGTCGTGTCTTGTATAAAGTAATACGAGTTTCGTTAAACAATGAATTATGGCATCTCGCGTTCATTCATGTTTAACTAACTCCTTTTTGTTATGGGCAGAAATTGTTGTTTTGCAACGGAACGTCACCTTGATATGTTGTCAGAGGATAAGATAAATGTGCTGCCATATATCCTTTTGCCTTTATGCGGACCCGAAGAATTCGATACGGATGTGAGTTCGAAAAAAAAACTGAAATTATCATAAATCAACTTATTATTAAAATTTACATTTAATGATGTATTAGGATATGGAAGGAATGCCTGATGATATTCAACTCTTGTCTTCTGATAAGGTAATTTATAAATTTCTTTTTTTAAAAAAAAAAAAAAGGAAATTCAATTCATTCATACGATCCTTACATTATTAGAAACGCGAACTTGATTCGTATCTTAAACGAACTTTGTTAGAATCCCTCCTACTCTTAACAACAACTAGGCAAGGACGTGATATACTTCGACAGAAAAAAGTGTATCCAGTAATTCGACAAATGCATCTTGTAGAAAAAGATGAAAAAGTTGGAGATGTTATACTACAGATTGTTAATATGTTAATGAGAGACGAGGAACCTGACGATGAAGATGACGATGATTATAAAATTGTAGAAATTCAATAATTGAAATAGATAATCTTTCTTATCAATTGAGATGGGTCAAAATAAAAATTAAGTTATTGGTTATTATTATACCTTTTAAATGTTACAGACAATATTTTTCTCGAGTGTTTAATTTGTGAAACCTAATGAGACCAACGCCCTAGGTAGACTTCTCAGGTTGAGGTGCACAATAAAATCATAAAGGCGTTCTTTGAGTTGTGTCTCATCAGGGGTTGAGATATCATAAGTACGTCCTTGTTTCTTGAATCATATTAAATACAATTGAAAAAAATAATATAAATAATAGATAATGGTTTAATTCGCAGGAAGCAATTATCAAGTTCTTGTTTTTTTTTGTAAAAAAAAAAAGAAACTATAGCAATAAGTTATCCAAAATTTTATTTAATTATAATTGAATTTGAATTTTTTTTAAGCGAGAAAAAAAAACGTTAAAAATGATCATAAAAGATAATATAATATTATAATGAATATATTTTCAAAATTATTTAATATTTGAATCCTTTCGTACAACATTATTATTTCTGTAATTGTCAACTTTGCGGTAAAGAATTTCCTATAAGATGAAATTCATAAAATGGGTTATTCCCTAAATATTCTTCTTTGTTATTATAATCTATTTGATTATTGGAAAAAAAAAAGTTGTATTAATTAAAAGAGAAGTTTCAATAGAAAACAAAAATTTTTATGATTAGTTACCTAACGTTTGAAATAACCGATCGAAATGCGGCATGAATTCCTGTGTAGATAGATAAAGCTCAAAATCCAGATTCGCAAAAACAGAAAATTCTTTATCCGTTATGTCTTTTATTGTCACATCTAAATTTTTATGTAATGCCTATGTTTGTAAGGGTAACGATATAGAAAGGTAAAGAGCTATTGATTAGAATTAAATGATTGCTTTCGTCTAAAATCATGATAAGTAGTAAAAGAAAACTTTTGACTCACCTCTAACAACGGTGAATATGACATTCCCATAGGTTCATTTACTTTACTTGCAAGTAACAAACATATCGCTAAAAGAAATCATAATCAATTAGTTGAATAGATTTAAAAAAAAAAAAAAAAATTTAATAATGTTTTTATTTTACGTAAAACTAAACATACCCCCGATTAATCTACGATTGGTCTTATTCACCAATTTCTATAAACAAATTCTTGATGTTAGTTACGTTATAGAGATCTCACTACAAAAGACCAATGATTTTATCGATCCTACCTTTAAAATTAACTTCTCAAAATAAGCATACGCCTTTGCAATAGTCGAAAGTTCCAAGTCCAAATCCTAAATTTAAAAAAAAATGATTAGCGTTTGGCTTCGACACGATGATTGAAAATGAATGATTTTCGAGATCAACCTCATTTCTTGCCACATTCAACAGTCTCAGCTTAATTTTTCTAATTTGACTTAACGTTAAAGTTGAATCAACCTCTGGATGTAATTGACGAAACAATGTATTCGATTCACGCTTCAAATCAGATGGGCGGTTATTATGATGATGCATCAACGAACCCTAAGATATGAAGGCATGAATTAATAAACGCAAACATCACTCTAACGTGCGATTGATTCAAATTAAACTTTAATTAAATATACCATAAGACCCGACAAACTTAGTACGGTTCGATGTTTAGTCGGCCTGCTGACTTGAACTTCGTTGACCGGAGGTTTTTCTATTTTTATCTTTGGATCATCAAGGTAGGTTGGATCATATTTCCCAAAACTCTCCTCTGGACTTGATTAATAATATAAACACGTGATTTTAATATACCAAAAAAAAGGGGGGATGAAAATCGAATGCCTTAAAGTAAATAGTAGTATATTATATTCACCCTAATGAATGGCTGGGCACTAAGAGATGTGCAAAGGATTCGGCCTGAAATTTTTGAAAATTTTTTTTTTTTTTTGTGAATTTCAATCAAAAGTGAGAAAGATTCTACTTTTAAATAAAGTTCTTTATCACTCACTTTTCGTCTCTTTATGATCTCCAAATCCGCAGGTTGCTTCCTGAAATCGCAATCAATAATTAAAAAAAAAAAAAGTCAATCACAGGAACTATACTGATGAACAAATCAGAAATTCCCCGAAAAATGAAATTATACGCACATCTGATCTTGACGATTTTTTTGCTTAAATTTCTTATCATATCCCCCCCATATTGAAAAAAGTCCCAACGAAGACTTTCGATAATATACATTACAATAAAGTTAGAAAATTTTTTTTATGTACAATAATTTTTGGAGGGCGATGATTAAGTTCCTAGACTCACCGAATTATTAGCATTATTTTGTTTACGATTATCATTAACATTGGGTTTATTTAGAGAGTTAGGACTTAAAATTGGAGAATGGCGGCGATGTTGAGATTTATAATGAGAAACAGATTTTTCATTTGTAGGAGAAGGATGAGGAGTGGTAGAATTGGCAGATGATGAGCTCGTATCGGATTTCGAGGTGGATGCTAATTTACGACATCATTTCAAATTCATTTGATTTTGGTATCATCAATCGTTAGATAATTTTTTTTTTTTTTTTTTTTTTTACCAGATTTTGGTATCAATAAAACACATTTAAAAAAACAGATAAAGTAATTCGATTAAAAAGAAAAAAAAGAAGGGAAAAAAAATAATAAAATAAAAAAGAGTTCAAATAAATAAACATAATTTTTTGTTTAAAATTACATTTCCTCATCCTGATAATTATTTTATTAAAAATTGAAAAAGAATAATCAATCGAAATAATAATAATGCAATTTCCCGATAACCAACCTGAACTTCTTCGACTGGATTTTTTAATTTCTCCAAGTGATAAACTATCTATTATATTTACTTGGTTATCATCAATCTCGGGGATCAAGTTATCACTAGCTTCTAGGATTGCAATTTTTTCCTTAATCGGACTTGTCAAGTTCTCTCTTGAAGGGTGATAAGGTTTTGATCTTTTAGGATCAAGACTGATGTTTGCCAAGAAACTCGTCGCGGAGTCCTCGCGATGACTATTGCTTCTTTCACGATCAAAATCATAAAATTCTTCATTATAGTCTATGGGGGAAGTTTTCGTTTTAAATATGTTGTTATTATTGGCAGTTTTTGAACTTGGGGAAAGAACATAATTTCCTCCCGATTTTTTAGGTACTCTCTCGTAGGGGATTGACGTTTTCCTTGTATTGATTTGCAAGCTTGGCTTACTGTTACCGCTGACAGTATCATGATCCCTGAGAGTTATTGAAGGTGGTGGTGGTTGGTTTTCAAAGGTATCAGTATTCAAGGAACTGTCTGATGACTGAAAAGGGCTGGGAACAGAGTGGCTGGGAGCAGCCGTTGCCCGAGAATTACTTGGTGGATAGGAAGATTCAGTTCCAAGGCTGATATTTGTAAGAAAAGTGAAGGCAGCTTGTCTCGAAGAATCTCGTCTACGGGGGATTCTGCGAGGAGAGGACGTTGTCATTGGTAAATTTCAAGTTGATAAGCGTTCTTCGCTCGTGGTAACTTATGACACTTGGGCAAATCGCTTTTTGTATTTAATTTATTGTTACACAAATTGTGTACACCAACTCTGATTTGGCGTAGTAGGAAAATGTGTGGGAATGGAGAAAGAAGATTCGCCAAATGTAATTTTTATTCTTAAATAAAGATAAAAAAAATTAAAATAAATTTTACCATATGCAAAATTTGTTTTACCATATACCAAATTTTTCTTAATATAGTGGTTAAATGACGTAAACCATGTGCTTTGTTTCTAAATGGTTGATCATATTTATATTGAAAATTAATAATTCCAAAGATTTTCCATTGAGAAACTGGGGCTAAAACTGAAAAAAAACTCCACAACCTTTAAATTATATTAAAGCATTTTAAAAAGGGAGAAAATGTTACGTAAATTTAACTTTTCTCAATGGAATATTTTTATATTTGTTACAATCAAAATCGCGTCGCGAACAGTTTGGTCTATGAAGATGATGGGAACCGCCAAATAAACTCAAAAATCGTACGTTTGAAACTTTTTTTGTTTAAAAAATCACAAAAACGTCGATGTGTGTGTAACGGGCAAAATAATAGCTCTTTTTTTTTTTTTTTTTTATGAAACCATGTTATTTCAACTTCTAATCATTCATCCCAATATAGGGTTCTTTGTTTTAAATACTTTTTCTCTCTTTTTTTTTTTTTTTTTTTTTTTTTTTTTTTTTTAACAAGTGTAACAATTTTCATTTTCGTAATCTTATTCGGATCCGGATCCGGTAATTCGACAAAATGATTTGCCCATCATTCAGCCATCTTGATATTCGTCTTGATGATCATATTTCAGAAATTATTAGTGTATCACACCTTTTTGCCGATGATTCTAAGGCTCATTTTAGAAATACCTATAAATAGATAATATATATACATATAGGTCTATCGAGATGACTAAGATCTAGAAATATTTTAAATCGAAATTTTTCTTAGACCACAATCTTTTTACAAATAGGGCTCAGTATCATGATATTGCGAAGGATAAAATTTAGAGAGCAGACATTTATTTGTAATTTGCACAATAGATTTGAAATGTTATTTGATTGTAGCTATTTTTTTTTTTCCAATCATCACAAACAACTATATAATAATGACTAATCTATATAAATGACGGTATCTTTCATGTCTTTCTTTTTTGACCTTGTTCTTTTTCTTTTTCTTTTTCTTTTTCTTTTTCTTTTCTCCGTTTCTCCTTTTCCTCTTCCATTTTAATTAAATCATCCCCTGTCATTCCACTGAGAATCTGTTCATGAAATGTATGCACCGTTACAGGTTTTGAATCCGATGATATAGAATGACGACGAATTGGCACAGGACGAGGGCTACTAATAAGTAAAAAAGGAATAGGTTAAAAAAATTAACGTGTTTAAAATAGTGTTAAAGGATTGAACGACAAAAGAACATACGATTTTAAATCTTCTGATTCTGAACTTTTTGATTGACCATAATTTAAATGTCTTGTATCTTCATACTTGTCTCCAGCCGTTGGACCGCCCACCATATCTGTTGATGAAGTCTCCAATGAAGAAACATGATCGGAGGAAGGATTTATTCCTGGGGAAGATAAAAAAAACACGTAAAATCAATTTAAATAATTCCACCGATCTCATTAACAAACAAAACAAAAAAATGAATTTCTACTACCTGACATCGTTTTGAATTGTAAAATTTTTTTTAGATAGAAAAATTGAGTGTCGAAAGATTCTGGTTGCTTTTATATTAATAAAATTGTAATTTATCATGTGATTATGACTCTAAATTTATGTAACGAATGTCTATTTATGACTACATTTAGTAAAGATCGAATTTGAATTTTTTCTCGAAAAAAAAAAATAAATAATAGTAAATAATAATGGGACGAAAACAAAAAACTACGAATAATTTATTAAACAAAATTCCGATTCCCACCGAAAAACAAAAAATAGCTAGAGTGTTGAATGGACGTGGTAAAAATCTTTTTGAAATACAATTCTCTGATGGTAATACGACGTTATGTATCTTACCACCAAAATTTCGTAATCTCATATGGGTGAAACGAGGTAAAGTATCCTTTATATCTATCTCATTCGTTATTGTATTTTTTTTTTTTTTTTTTTCATAAAATATTATCTTTCCTTTTTTTTTTTTTTTTTTTTTTTTTTTTTAGGAAATTATGTCATTATAAACCCAATCGAGGAAACTACTGAGCGTGTAAGCAAAGTTGGAGGAGAAATTGAACACGTATTATTTTCCGATCATATTAAACATTTAAAATATCAAGAAATATGGTAAGCAAATAAATTTTTTTTTTTCTCGCATTCTTTTTAAAAATATACAATCCGTACGTAATTTTTTTGATAGGCCTCAAGGGTTTGAAAATCAAGAAGAGGAAAATTCAAGGTAAACTTCCGAAATTTTTAATTGATGGAATTTCTTTCAATAAAATTCATTCTTTATAATTTTAGACAAGATACGAATTCTGATGAACTTTTCGTAAATACTAACCGCCACGAAATTGGTGACGATACAACCACCTCGAGTGAAAATGAAGAAAATTAACCCTAAATTATCTTTCATGCGAACACATCTTAATTGGGATTAATAACATTTGATACGAGATAAAATAAGCATATTTATAAATTTATCTTAAGCTCGAAAGAAGGGAGGTTAGTAGCAATTCAACTTTTCCAATTGAAGAAACCAATATATCGAGAACTGGTGAATTACATACAGCATTCTCATTTAAATTTATGATATAGGAGAAAAGTAGCTTTCGGATTCCGATCCCGATCGGATTCACATTATTTTCAAGTTGATTTACCTGATGGCACATCATTGATTTGACGTCTAAAATGAATAAATATAGTTCTTGCGAACGTGTTTTTTTTGAGTTAAGAAATAATTTTAGAAAAGAATTTAAGTCTCATATACGATCTTATCTGATCTTAACAAAATAATTTCATATTTTGAATCTTTTTATTTACATTGAAATAATAGTTGAAATATAAAATATAAACATAATAATAATAATCCATTTAAAATTGGCTCAGACCCTCTCAACCCCAAGATATATATAAAAACCCGGATCAGGATAATGTTTTTCAAGGAAGAGGAGAGGTCTCAGAAGTTTGTAATCATATATTTTCTTAACTAAGAAAATGTCAAACCTTTTACAGAATCATCACTGCCAATTTTAATTTTAAATTTTTTAAAACAAAATCCTCTAGAGGAATTCTATATAATATTTTTAATCATTGCTTTTTTTTTTTTTATTTAAAAAAAAAAAAAAAAAAAAAACTCAGAATTGGCTAAATCTCAACAGGTTTAAATTATTTTCTGTGAGAATTCCTCAAAAATAACAAAAAAGGAGATTTTTGAGCTTTTTATAACATTTTAGATTTTCTATTGTAGCACAGATCACGTGAATGAAATTATGTTTACTAAAAATTTTTAATAAAACTCTTACAATAATTTTAGTCTATAAAAAAAGCATTGGTTTAAATACAAATAAATCTTTTTTTTTTTTTTTTACATTCGTTCGATAATGATTGAAGAAGCAGCACCACCACCATTGCAAATGGCTGCGGCACCCAATTGACCAGGTTTAAGTAAATGTATCAAGGTAACGAGAATACGAGAACCTGAACTACCGATGGGATGTCCCAAGGCAACAGCACCACCAGCAATATTAACCTTGGAAGGATCTAATCCTAAAATTTGTTCATTCACGCGACCTACAACGCTAAATGCTTCATTGAATTCAAATAAACTAATATCAGAAATTGATAATCCGGCTTTTTTCAGCGCTACCGGAAGTGCTTGAGATGGAGCGATTGTAAAGTCAATTGGATCAACTGCTGCATCACCGTATGCTATGATTAAAAAGGAAAAAAAAGGGTTAACTTTTTTTCGCGATTTCAAATTCAAAAAAGTTGCTAAAAATTAAATAACATACAAACTATCCTGGCCAAAGGTTTTAGACCAAGTTCATCGGCTTTTGAACGAGTTGCAAGTGTTAAAGCACTTGCACCATCATTAAGGGTTGACGAGTTAGCAGCGGTGACCGTGCCTTTTCACAGATAATCGAAATTCGTTTAATAATCATCAATCGCTTTCAAATAAAAATATTAAAGCAAAGAAAAAAATACGACGACCGAATACCATCTTTTTGAAAGACCGTTCTCAAAGTTTTAATCTTTTCGAATTTGACATTCTTATATTCCTCATCTTCATCAATGACGACAATTTTTCCTCGTTCATTAATTTCAACAGGAATAACCTCGTTTTTGAAAACACCGTTCTAATTTATAGTATACGTTAACATAAGTTATGAAATAATAAGATTTTTTTAATACATGATATATGCATACCTTCCAAGCTTCTGCAGCACGTTTATATGACTCGATAGCATGTTCGTCTTGAACTTCTCTTGAAATATTATATTTTTTAGCCGTGTTTTCTGCACAGTTACCCTATAAAAAAGATTCAATGATTCTAAATATCCAGGAAATACTTATCAAAAAGGAGAGGAAATAAAGTAAAATAAATTTGATCGGTCGTCATCTTTACCATGCTAATTTAAGGCACAATCGTTAGTTCGAGTCTCTTAAAATCTAAATAAGGCACGGTAAAGATTAAGAAATTACGTACTGTATCTGATTATAAACGTCCCATAATCCGTCTTTGATAATCCCATCAAACATGGTTTGATGTCCGTACGCAGCATTCCTTGACACGTAAAATCTAATTCATCATTTTAACGGTGTTAGTATGAATACAAATCCTAAGATCTGAAATGTTTTGAATATACCCACGGAGCATTAGACATACTCTCCATACCACCGGCGATCATTATAGATCGGTCACCAAGGGCTAAATTTTGTGCGGCTAATATAACAGCTTTCATACCGGAAGCGCAAACCTTATTGATTGTTGTTGCTTCAGTTGAAGTTGGTAAACCTAAATCCGAGAATTAAGAAAAAGTTATAAGATTTACAAATTTCGATGAATAATCATCTTTCTCCCTTGGTTCGAAAAGTTATATACTTTACCCGCTTTAATTACCACCTGACGAGCTGGTGATTGGCCAATGTTTGCTTGCAAGACATTACCGAAATATACTTCTTCGATATGCTCAGGTTTTAAACCTAATTATTTCAAATACAATTTAGTCAAAACGAGAACCTTTTTTTTTAATAATATCAAAAATCTTATGTTCATCTTAACGTGATTTTTCAAGCGCTCCTTTTGCCGCAATAGCACCAAGTTCTGGAGCGGTTAGTTTCTTCAATGATCCATTAAAACAGCCAACAGGCGTCCTAACAGCCGACATTATAACAACTTGCTATAACATTGATTGATCAGATACAATTAAATAATGTTAATAAATAGCATACGATCAATAATTATTAAAAAATTTACGTTGACATTGCTGGCCGTAGCATAACCACGTGACAACTACAAATTAACAGAAATTGAATTTTATTAAATTTGATAAAAAGATAATAAATTAACTAGTACGATTATAATAAAGGAATTTTGAACATACATTTCTTGAGGCACGAAAAACTTTGGTAGAAAATCGAAGCATTTTTTTTTGTTTTGTTTTTTTTTTTTTTTTTTTTCACGAATTTGGTTTTTGGTTAAGATTAATAAAACACCCTTTATATATAAAAATAATTGACATTATTAATCACATCTAAGATCTAATTGTATTACAGCAAACTTCATTTTACATGAAATAATTTTTTTTATTGTTTGTATTTTAAAGAAATGTCTAACCCGTCTCATCAAGATTACTCGCGTAGACATCAAACACAGAGAGACAGAGATCGTAATAGAGATCATTATACGGACCCATATCGCGATCTTGATAGACCCTTAGAAGATCCTTATCACGATCGTCGCAGATCTCGGTCACCACTTAGAGACAGAGACAGAGACAGAGAAAGAGACAGAGAAAGAGATTTAAGAGACAGGGACAGAGATAGAGATAGAGAAAGTCACAGAGACAGAGATAGAGACAAGTACGATCGACGAGAAAAAAAGTCAAAGTCACCACACGGAAGAGAGAGAGTCAGGGATCGTGATCGCAGAGACCGTCGTAGAACTCCGGAAAGAAATATTCGATACAGATCTCGCTCTCGCTCTCCTTTAAACAGAAGAGGTAAGATTTATGAGCGCGTTTTACTAACAACATATAACCTAGAGATATAAATGGCACAATATAGGGCTGGTTCCAATTATGTAGGACGAAAGTTAGGTGAGTTGTTATACCTTTGGGAGCAACCCTATATTGTGTTTACAAAAAAAAAAAAATAAAAAAAAAACAGCTTTGCAAACCGTATGAATATGTATAGTCTCTGCTGCATTGAATAAGATAAGGTATGCGTTCAGAGTTGTTTGTGCAAGATGATAATTTAATTCGTAATATTTCACGTTTATTTCCTTATTCCCTATATTACTATAGATCGGGCTGTTGTAAGTCCTCGTGGAACTGAACGCGAACGAGATCGAAAGGGTAAAAAAAAATTACCTATCCTTGATTTCTTCGAAATCTCCAATTTTATATTAATATATATTTATCATCTAGATGAAAGATTTGACCGTGATCGAAAGATTAAATCGCGTTCGGGTTCACCGAGGTCCGTATAACGTTATTCAATCTCCTTTTTTTTTTTTATAAGATGCTTTAGAACCGTCTTATACATTAATTTCGTTCGTTAATCATTAATTTCATTCGTTAATATAGGAGAGAGGATATGAATAATTCTTCAGGTTCATATTAAATTTTCATCCGTTAGATATTTCAAGATCGAAATTAATAACTTTATTTCTGTTAATGTGAACCAGCAGATAATTCTATAATGCTTATAGATCCAGATGAAGATCCTGATCAAGCATTAATGAAAGCCATGGGTATCGCAGGGTTTAACACCACTAAAGTAAGTATTTCAAAGTTTTCTTTATTAATTTTTAATTTAATAACGCCTTTTGATTTAAATATATTATTACAATCAGGGTAAGAGAGTTGTGGGTAATGATATAGCTGCAGTTAGCATTAAAAAACAAAGACAATATCGTCAATACATGAATCGACGTGGAGGTTTTAATAGGTAAGAAACTTAAGTTTATGTTTCTTTTACGAACCTTTTTTTTTTTTATTTGTCAAATAATAATTTTTTTTTTTTTTTTTTTTTTTAGACCTTTGGATAAGATACAATAAATATTAAATTTTTAACGAGATGCATTTCGATATTATTTGTTTTAAAAATTAATCGATATAAAGTCAAATTTCAAATATTTGCGATTTTCAATTATTTTTTATGAGAATTTTTTTTTTTTTTGCTTATAGAATTTTCGATTTAAATTAATATTATATAAGTCAATTTGTATTGGAACGATTTTATAATGGGAAACTTATTAATAAAGAATATTTTAAATAAAATTGCTACATTATTTATTTACAGGTAATTCTCTTTTTCTCGTACTTTTTCAACCATTTGTCTTAACAATGTTGTTACTTTGACGATATTTTTTTTGTATTTCGCAGAAACTGGTACGATTACAATTTCTTCTTTAAACATTTCCTTAACTTTTGCTTCAAAAATCGGAAAATTTTCTTTGGATTTTTCAGTTATATCTGCCTTATTTGCAACAATCAAAGATGAACGTTTTGTAAGTCCCGGTCGATATTTTTCTAATTCACTTTGTAAAATATACCATTCTTCCCATGGTTGATTTCCTGATAAATCAACGACATAAACAAGAACTTTCGAACGTTCTATATGCCTAAGGAAGGAATGTCCTAATCCGATGTTTTTATGAGCACCTTGGATTATTCCAGGGATATCAGCAACGGTTAATTGAAACCTATCAGAATAATCCACCGTACCAATGTAAGGATTGAGAGTTGTAAAAGGATAAGGTGCGATCTTTGGATGAGCGTTAGAAACAGCCGTAAGGAAAGTACTTTTTCCCGCATTTGGTAGGCCCACCAATCCTGCATCAGCTATTGCTTTCAGTTCTAATTCAAGATATTTTACTTGCCCTTCCTGTCCTTTTGTCGCATACTTTGGAGAACGATTTGCATTCGTTAAAAAATGTGGATTTCCTTTTCCGCCTAAACCTCCATGTGCAACTATATATTGACCATTTGGCACGGAAAGATCCAAAAAAAGATTATTATTTGCATCCTTAGCTTTAAGAACCTTGTTATACCTTTCATCTTGCTCAATCATTTTTTCGGCTTCGATAAAGAATGAACTTAAAGGATTTTTCTCATTATATCGAGGGTAATGAACCCAAGTCGCTGCTCTCTTTTTTGCAAGTTTCGTTTCTTCGTCAAGATTTTCGTCATTTATTTGATCTTCATTAATTTTTTTTGATTGTCTTTTATTTAATAATGGGTCAACCTCTCTAACAATGGTTCCCAAAGGAACTTGTATTATAACATCTTTACCAGCTGAGCCATGTTTCATATTCCCTTCGCCATTATGACCTCTACCCGCAGTGATGTTCTTGCTAATGGAATGCAATGAAGAATGATTTGATGACGCGACAAAGATAACATTCCCTCCCCGCCCTCCATTACCACCTGAAGGGGGTACCTTTGAAACATACTTTTCCCGACTAAAAGCAACACAGCCATCACCCCCGGCACCTCCCTTAACCATAACATACATCAGGTCGATAAATTGTCGTGTCTTGTACGGAAAGGTAGTAGTACAAAAAGGAGAAGGGTTTAAAACAACTAACAAAAATCCTTTTAAGACCATAAATTAATTGGATTTAAAATTGAAATACAAAACCTTGTCTCTCAATTTATATTGTAAACTCTGATCTCGAATCTTCTCCATATCGTTTTTTGAGGCAAGGTCTACTTCACTTTCTTGTATAACTGCCACGTCATGTTGTCCAACCAGCAAAATTGGCTTTTCTTCGGCATTATTATCACTCGATGAATTTCTAATTTGTACTAAAGGTTGTAAAAAAGATCCGGCAAAAGAAATCTGTTTTCTAAAAGCAAAGTGTTGAGCACGAAAATAAATTTGCATTTTTTAGTAAAATTTTTTATCAATTATCATCAAAATCTTTTTTACAATATGATAAAAATTTAGCCAATAGATGATCGTATTTTCACGTGATCAGATCATTTTATTATCATACATCATCCACCTTTTTTTTTATCTTTACTAAATACGTTCTTTTCTTCATAATGGTTAAAGTTGAAGAGGTACTATTACTTTTGACATTCATGGAAGTTTATTCACGTCAACTCTTTTAGACAATTATTTCTCTTGTTAATTAAGATAACTGAAGACTATGACGACGATCATCACTCTGAGGATTCAAATTTTACAACCGATGACTCAGACTCTGAAGACGATTTTGAGGAGGAAACATGGATTGAAAGAATTCGTGCGTTACGTGATATTATACCGACCGATACACGCGATTCAATATCATATAAAATATCATCTATGATGAGTTTTGGCGTGAGAGGTGCTCGTTTCTTAGGAAATGGAGCTTGGGTATTGACCACCTCAGCTTTACTCGTAGTTTTTCCGTTGTTAGTTGAGATAGGTAGAGAAAGTGCGATCAATCAAATGGAAAGTGAACAAATGGTAATTTATATCTTTATTTGGTATTTGGTATTTTCCTTTTTGTTTTAAGAAAAATTTTCAAATTCGATGTTATATTGATAGTTAAATCAAGGTGATCCGTATGGACAACCCGGACAACCTTTACCACCAGGACAACATCTACCATCAGGTCAAAATCAAACACAGCCTCGAGGAGCTTTAATACCACCAGGATTTTAAAAATAAAATAAAATAAAGGAAAAAAAATATTTTTCATTTCATTTTATAAAGTTTCAAAGATTTTCTGTTATTGATTTGATTAGTTATGTAACAAATATCATTTGAATTTGAATTAAAATTAATTATGTTAGTTTTTACTAAATTAAAATAGTTTTCCCTTCCCCTCTTTTTTTTTTTTTTTTTTGATCTTTGTAATTAATAATTATTTTAATTAGGTATTTATACTGGATGAGGGGTAAAATAATTTAATAAATCGGTTTATTAATAATGATCGCAAGTTATATTTATCACATGTTTTTACTACGCAACTTAAGTATATTTTGTAGCAAAGAAGCAAAAAAAAAGAGTCCAATCAACAACCCGCATTATTTAATAAAATTATGTTTAATGTTTGGTGAATTGTTGGTGTCTTTATAAACATTTCAATGTCAATGAGTATGCAACCTTTTTCTGCTTTCTTAAAATAATTTCTAATAATATTGATATTTTAAGTTTGTCAACAAACGATAAATTGGTAAGATATTTACCTTTTGACTGGCATTATAGAACTTGGCCGAAATTAATCATGTGACAAATAAGGTGACAAATAGTAATCTTTATACAGAAAAATTTGAATACATGGTGTTAAATGAAAATGATCTTTGACCTAGTGATTATATTTTGGTGAAAATACTACTATTAGATTCTTCTTAATTAGAGCTTCCCAATGAGACCAATGGTGATGAGATTAGAGTTCTGAATGAGTCGAGTTAACTCACAAGTCAGATAAGCTAAGTCGAGTTCAAATCAAGTTGAGTTTATGTTTTTTTGACTCAATGATTTGTGAGTCAAGCCAAATTCAATTCAAGTTGAATTAAATATTTAACTTAACTCGATTTAAACTCAAGTTGACTCAAGTTGACTTGAATGATAAAAAAATCGTTCTAAGAAGAACGATAAGAAATCGTTCAACTTAAATGATAAAAAAATCGTTCAAGAAGAACAATAAGAAATTGTTCAACTTAAACGATAAAAAATCATTCAAGAAGAATGATAAGAAATCATTTAACTTAAACGATAAAAAAATCGTTCAAGAAGAATGATTAAAAATCGTTCAACTTTAATAAAGAAATCGTTCAAGAAGAACGATAAGGAAATCGTTCTAAGAAGAACGATAAGGAAATCGTTCTAAGAAGAACGATAAGGAAATCGTTCTAAGAAGAACGATAAGGAAATCGTTC